TCAGACAAAATAGACTTTCAATCAAAAATGGTACATGACTCGGGCGACTGGGTGGTTCAGTTGTTAGGCGTCTGCCTTCGGCTCGGGTCATGGGATCGAGCCCCGCATCGGGCTCCCTGCTCGGCGGGAAGCCTGCTTCTCCCTCTGCCACTCCGCCTGCTTGTGTTCCCTCTCTCGCTGTGTCTCTGTCAAATAAATAAAATCTTAAAAAAACAAAAAACAAAAAAGGTACATGACTCAAAAAATTACATTACATATTAATAAAAGACTCCATCCATCAAGAAAATATAAAAATTATCAGCATTTACACACCTAATGACCATTAAAATAGGTGAAGCAAAAACTAACAGAATTGAAGGGAGAAACAGGTTTTTTTATCAACATATAATGTATTATTTGTTTCAGGGGTACAGGTCTGTGATTCATCAGTCTTACATAACACCCAGGGCTCATTACAACACATACCCTCCCCAGTGTCCAGCACCCAGTACCCCATCCCCCACCTCCTCCCCTCCAGCAGCCCTCAGTTTGTTTCCTGAGATTAAGAGTCTCTTATGGTTTGCCTCCCTCTCTGGTTTCGTCTTGTTTCAGTTTTTCCTCTCTTCCCCTATGATCCTGGGAGAAACCAGTTCTGCAGTAACAGCTGGAGACTTCAGTATCCCGCTCCCAATAACGGACAGAACAACCAGACGGAAGGAAACAGAGGACGTGCACAGCACAGTAAATCAACTAGACCTAACAGACACGTGCACAACACTCCAGCCAAGAGCAACACACACATTCTTCTCCGGTGCACAGGGGACACTCCCCACAACAGACCATATATTAGGCCACAAATTAAGTCTTAAAGATATCATACAGAGCAGTCCCTATCAAAATACCAAAAGCATTTTTCATAGAACTAGAGTAAGCCTAAGGTTTGCATGGGACCACAAAAGATCCTGAACAGCCAAAGTAATTTTGAGAAACAAAAACAAAACCAGAGGCATCCCAATTCCAGACTTCAAGTTATATTACGAAGCTGTAGTCATCAACAGTATGGTACTGGCATAAAAACAGACACATAGATCAGTGGACCAGAATAGAGAGCCCAGAAATAAACCTACAATTATATGGTCAATTAATCTTTGACAAAGCAGGAAAGAATATCCAATGGGAAAAAGACAGTCTCATCAACAAATGGTGTTAGGAAACCTGGACAGCCACATGCAAGAAAAACCCCCCAAGCCCCCCAAACAAAAAACTGGACCACTTGCCTTCACCACACACAAAAATAAACTCAAAATGGATGAAAGGCCTAAGTGTGAGACCTGAAACCATAAAACTCCTAGAAGGGAGCATAGGCAGTCATCTCTCTCACACTGCAGCAACACTTTTCTAGATACGTCTCCTGAGACAAGGGAAATAAAAAAATTATCAGGACTTCATCAAAACAAAAAGCTTCCACACAGTGAAGGAAACAACCAACTAAAAGGCAACCTACCTCCAAAGACGACATGCAGATGACCAGCAGACACACGAAAAGATGCTCCATTTCACTCATCATCAGGGAAACGCAAATCATAACCACAATGAGAGATCACCTCACACCGTCAGAATGGCTAGAATCAACGACAAGAAATACCAAGTGTTGGCAAGGATGTGGCAAAAAGGGAACCCTTCCACTGGTGCAGCCACTGTGGAAAACAGACCATCCTCAAAAAGTTAAAAATAGAACTACCCTACTGGGTGTATTTACTCAAAAAATATAAAAACATGAACTTAAAGGGATACACGCACCCCTATGTGTATAGTAGCGTTATTTACAATAGCCAATTATGGAAGCAGCCCAAGTGTCCATCAATAGATGAATGGGTAGGGGCGCCTGGGTGGCTTGGTCGTTAAGCGTCTGCCTTCGGCTCAGTTCATGATCTCGGGGTCCTGGGATCGAGCCCCACATCGGGCTCCCTGCTCCGCGGGAAGCCTGCTTCTCCCTCTCCCACTCCCCCTGCTTGTGTTCTCTCTCTGTCTCTCTCTGTCAAATAAGTAAATAAAATCTTTAAAAAGAAGAAATAGATGAATGGGTAAAGAAGATGTGGGGGGTGTGTGTGTCTGTGTCTGTGTGTATGATGGAATATTATTCAGCCATAAAAAGAATGAAATCTTGCCATTTGCAACAACATGGATGGAGCTAGAAAGTATGATGCTAAGTGAAATAAATCCTTCAGACAAAAACAAACAGCACAGAATTTCACTCGTATGTACAATTTAAGAAACAAAAGAAGCAAAAGGAAAAAAAAGGGACAAATCAAGAAAGAGACTCAACTGTAGAGAACAAACAGATGGTCACCACAGGGGAAGTAGGAGGGGCATGGATAAAACAGGTGAAGGGGATTAAAAGTACACCTATCAGGATGAGCAGTGTATGGAAGAGTTGAATCACTACATTGTACACCTGAAACTGGTATGTTAACTATCCTGGAATTAAAGTTAAAAACTTAATAAAGATATCATACATAGTATCTTGTCTGACCACAGCAGGATGAAGTTAGAAATCAGTAACAGAGAAAACTGAAAATTCACAATATTGTTGAAATCAAACAATACATTTCAAACAACCAATGGATCAAAGAAGAAATCACGGGGCAAATTAAAATATAGAGACAAATGAAAATGAAAACACAACATACCAAAACTCATGGGACACAGCAAAAGTGGTGCTAAGGGGGGGAATTTATAGCTATAAATGCTCACATTTAAAAACAAGAAAGAGGGCGCCTGGGTCGCTAAGTTAGTTAAGCGTCTGCCTTCAGCTCAGGTCATGATCCCAGGGTCCTGGGATCGAGTCCCACAGGCGGGTCCCTGCTCCGCAGGAAGCCTGCTTCTCCCTCTCCCACTCCACCTGCTCGTGTTCCTGCTCTTGCTGTGTCTCTGTCAAATAAATAAAATATAATAAAAAATAAATAAAAACAAGAAAGAGGGCGCCTGGGTGGCTCAGTCAGTTAAGCGTCTGCCTTCGGCTCAGGTCATGATCCCAGCGTCCTGGGATCGAGTCCAGTTTCGGGCTCCTTGCTCAGCAAGAGAGCCTGCTTCTCCCTCTGCCTGCCGCTCCCCCTGCTTGTGCTCTCTGATAAATAAAATCTTAAAAAAAAAAAATCCTGGGTGCCTGGGTGGCTCAGTTGGTTAAGCGACTGCCTTCGGCTCAGGTCATGATCCTGGAGTCCCGGGATCGAGTCCCGCATCGGGCTCCCTGCTGAGCAGGGAGTCTGCTTCTCCCTCTGACCCTACCCCCTCTCATATACTCTATCTCATTCTGTCTCTCAAATAAATAAATAAATAAAATATTAAAAAAAAAATCCTAAAATCCATATGCAATCTCAAGGGACCCCAAATAGCCAAAACATTCTTAAAAAAGAAAAACAAAACTAGAGGACTCACACTTTGATTTCAAAACCTACTACACAAAGCTTCAGTAATTAAAACAGTTGTGGCACTGCATTAAGGACAGACATACAGACTGATGGAACAGAATAGAGAGCCCAGAAGTAAACCCTTGCATATGATTTTTTACAAGGGTGTCACGACCATTCAATAGGAAAAAGAACAGTCTTTTCAACAAATGGTGTAGGGAAAACTGGACAATCACACACAAAAGAACAAAGTCGGACCCTTATTTAACATCGTATATGTAAATTAACTCAAAATGGATCAAGGACCTAAATGTAGGACCCAAAACAATAAAACTCTTGAAAGAAAACACAGGACAAAAGCCTCATGACATTGGATTTGGCAATAATTTAATAGGACACCAAAGGCACAGGTGACAAAAGAAAAACAAGTTGGACTTCATGAAAATTAAAGTTTTTTTTTTTTTTTACAACCAGAGACCCTATCAACAGAGTAAAAAGGCAATCCACAGGAGAAGATATCTTCGGATCACATATCCAATGAGGAATTAATATCCAGAACACAGGCGGAGCTCCTAAAACTCAACAAAACCCAAATAAATCAAAAACAGCCAAAGTGTCTGAATCGGCATTTTCCATATGAATGGCAATAAACACATGAAAAGGTGCATCACTAATCATTAGGGAAATGCAAATCAGTAACACAGGGAGATAGCATTTTATAACCATTAGGATGGCGATTTATCAAGAAAAACAGAAAAGAAGTGTTGGGCAAGGATGTAGGAAAACTGGAACCTTATACACTGTTGTAGAAATTCAAAATGGTACAGCCTCCGTGGAATACAGTATGTAGGCTCATAGAAAAATTCAAAATAGAATTATATGATCCAGAAATTCCACCTCTGAGTATATACCCAAAAGGACTAGAAATAGGGTCTCAAAGAAATATTTGCACACCTATGTTCATAGCAGCATTATTCACAGTAGCTAAAACACAGAAGCAACCCAGTGTCTATCAACTGATGAATGGATAAACAAAATGTGGTCAGTACTTGCGATGGAATACTACTCAGTCCTGAAAAGGAAATTCTGCAAAATGCTACAACATGGATGAAACTTGAGGACATAATGCTAAGTAACATAAGCTAGTGACAAAAAGATAAATACTATATGATTCCATTAATATGAGGGGCTCAAAGTAGTCAAAATCAGAAAGACAGAAGGTATCATGGTGGTGGCTGGGAGGGCAGTGGGGAGTTACTGTTTAACAGGTAAAAAGGTTTTTTTTTTTTAACATTTATTATTTATTTATTTGATAGAGAGTATGCATGAGAGAGAGAACAAACGGGGGGGAGGGCAGAGGGAGAAGCAGACTCCCCGCTGAGCAGGGAGCCCGATGCGGGGCTCAATCCCAGGACCCTGGGATCATGACCTGAGCCGAAGGCAGTCGCTTAACCGACTGAGCCACCCAGGCGCCCCAACAGGTAAAAAGTTTTACAAGATGAAGAGAATTATGGGGGGGCGGGTTGATGGTGTTGGCTGCACAACAATGTGAATTTATTTACTACTACTGAAATACACACTTAAAAATGGCTAATATACTTTTATGTGTATTTTAACTCAATAAAAGAACAAATGACCAACAAAAGAATATATAAGGAGGTGTATTCACACAATGGAATACCGTTAATACTAAAAATGAACGAACTGCAGGGCGCAAGGCAGAAGAATAATAAGACACAAAGGAACACACCCAAAATGATTTCATTTACATAAAGTTCAAAGCAAACACACTAAACTCTACTGAACAAGGATGCGCACAAGGGTGATACAACGCTAAGCGAAAATAGGTAACAAAAGATGCCCAGGATGACCCCTGCTGGTCCCCAATCTTGGCACAACCTCAGATCACCTTGGGTTCGCTGGGGGAGCTCTAAAATCTACCCCCTCCAGGCTCCGCGCCCAGAGGCTCGGCTCTCACTTTTCCTGCAGCGCTGGCCTCGGGCATGCCCTTCCAAAGCTCCTTAGGTGTCACCAACACGAGGACGAAGTTGACGACGCGGCTCTCCGGTGAGGGCACAGGGCCGGGGCGGGGCGGACGCGGGGCCTCTGGGCTGCCGGCAATGGTTTCCTCGGCTGGGGTGAGTCTCACTGGTGTGAGTGGATCATTGACTATACGTTCATTTCACGCCCTTACCCGTGGCCGTCAGCTCTCCCCTCTTTCCACAGCGCACACGTACGTGTTCCAGAGCCCACAGCTCACGGCCCTTACTTGGAGCTGCTTATCTACAAAATATTCCACACGGCGGGGCCGATCCAAGCTGGTTGTGCCCTTGTGGCCAAGCTGTCCATATTTACCTAAAGGGAAACGAGCTGCTGGGCCATCCTCCCCCCACCCCCGGGCCTTGGGGCTTTTCCCCCGCCAGGAAGGAAAATCAGCCCATCAACCAAAGTGCAGGGCTTGAGCCACCACCCCGCCGGTGTCTGCTCTGGAAATTCAGGAGGCCAGAGCCACAGAGCCTTCGGGGCCAGGCCAGGTCCCCAAGAGGCAGCTGCCACCAGCCACGCCAGGCAAGATGCTCTTCCAGGTTCTCTGCTCCTAACCCCAGACACTACCCAGTGCCAGATCAACAGAAGTGTCATAAATGCTGCCTAACTCTTCCCTCAAGACAGTTTTTCAGGAAGATACACGGGAAGTACTAATATCTACTTCTCTCCCATGTGGTCTCTGACTTTGGTGTGCTTAGATCTGTTCTAGGCAAGGGAATATGTAGCATTTCCATCCCAGACTTCCAAGGGGTCAGGCCGAGGCCCCTGCTTCCGTCTGCTGCGTGGTTGTTATCTCCTGCCCTCTGCCCCCGGGCCCCTTCCTCCCCTGGTTTAAGCATCACACAAACAAACCTTTTACTTACCCCAGCCCCAGGTGTACAGCTCCCCAGTTCCTACAACCAGAAGGACAGTAAGGGGCTGTCACAAGGCATTTGTCTAGCATGACCTGCCACGGTCCAGAGCCAGCACCTTCTAAGTGTCCTGAGCTCTGCCTGGCATAGCACAACATATTCTCTAACAACTGTCTAATCACACCCGGGGCAGGAAAGGATGCAGGTGGAAGTTTACCTTCCTGGATGCCAACTGATGGGCCTGGCTCTCACAGCTACCGAGTTCAGGGGGCTTAGCACCTGGACCGCTCAGACCAAGCGGCCGGCAAACACTAGCATCCTTCCAGAAGGAGGGGCCTTCGTGGCCTGACAGTTGGGGGGCTACTGTTAAAGCCCCATGGGGGTTGGGGCTGTTTTCACTGAAGGAGGCGGCTACTCAGTACTTCTCAGAGACACTTAAAAGTCGAAGTTTTTAAGGGGATCACAGCCTTCTCTGCAGCACCAGCTAAGGGATGGGGTGGAGGACTTCCTGCTCCATCGTCGGCCGCCCGCCCAGCCCCTACTCACTTGTCACCACCGCTGTGTGCCGGGAGCCACAGCTGGCCTTGACTGCATCTGCGCCCCCGGGGAGATCCAGTAAAGCTGGAAAGGGCTGGAGGGCTATGAAGGGGGCCGGGGCTCCCTCCTCACCCCCGGCTGTTCTCCTCACTTCGGGGCCACCTTCATTCAGTCCACTGGCTTCAGAGAAGCAGCAAGAGAGAGTGAGGAGGATCGTGACTGGTAACGTGGAGCACTGGCTACACCTTAGCCATCCAGGACCTCAGGCGGCACGACAGCTCCACGAGGCCCCTGCCGTGGACACCACGGCTGCCGCTCCCAGCCCCCACGTTCCCCAGAAGCGCTGGAGTTGACAGGTCAGGGGGGAGTGCGCTGAGGAGGCTGGCATCAGCCCTGCCGTACCCCCATCCCTCCCCAGAGCCCGGAGTCCTACAGAGGGTCCTGGGGTCCCAAGGATGTCCCGTGTCCCTTCTGAACACTACAAGGTCTCAGGCCAGCATGTGGCCAGGAGTCAGGAAGGACAGAAGCATGCGTGGAAGAACTGACCTTCACCTTCCCTTGCAACTGTCTTTCCATCCTCTGACAGGCTCCTGGTGGGCAGGGCCAGCTGCCCGGACTCATTCCAGCCCCAGATATAAATATCCCCAGTCTCTAAAAAAGAGGTGCAGGGGACCCATTAAGCAGACTGTGAACCGCACCCTCACCCTCCTAAGCCCCCTGAATCCGTCCAAACACCCGCATACCCACTAATGCTGCCCCGCCCAGGCAGCCCTCCGGGCAGTGCCTCCCACAGGCCCCAGCAGCTTCCTGGTCTTACAGGCTTCCCTTCCCCCTCAAGTGCTTCCGGCGTCCTTTTCTTTAAACAGGGTCTCCTGGATCTTCCTCTCCAGTTTCACTTTTTCCCTTTGTTGCTAAATTGCCCCCTTTACTTGGAACTGCTTATCTACAAAATATTCCACACGGCGGGGCCGATCCAAGCTGGTTGTGCCCTTGTGGCCAAGCTGTCCACCTCCCACATGTGAACCTGCCGAACGCCATCTTGCACAGCGCTGCCATGACGACGCTGCCATGAGGACAGTTCGGAGGCCCCAACGAAGCCTCCTTGAGAACAGCCCCCAGACACACTTTCTTTTTTTTTAAATAACACACATAATAGACCCTAAGAACACCCTTAGGGCATAAGGTCCTTGGCTCTGCTCTGGAGAGGGGTCAGACACGGAACTGTTCTCGCACATTCTCCTCCCGGGTGGTCGCCCAGCAGGGGCTCCCAGCCTCTAGGGCTATCAAAGCAGGTCTGACGGGAGGGGGCTGTGGTCACAGCTGTGTTGCAGCCGCCCAAGACGAGTCCGGAAGCTCCTTTAGTAAACCGTTTCTTGTCAAGCTGGACTTGTGGACCTTTTTCTTTGGTCTAGAACTCCTTTGGAGGTTGCTTCGCATAAACTTAACTTTCATGGAACACACCACCACACACACTTCAGAAATGTATCCCTGGAAATTCCCAACGGCCTCCGTTTCAAACCCACTGAGCCCACGACACCCTTCCTCAGCCCCACCCACCACTGGTCCCAGTGAAAGCCTCTTCTGGAAGCTCTCACCTTCCCTGCCTCTCATGTAAAAATTCACTAATGACAGCTCATTTTTAATCAAGTGTTCACTTTGTGCCAGCATTTTAAGCACTTTTCAATATAATCATTTAATTCTCAGAAGAGCCCTACAGAGGGTTAGAGGGCAACATCCCCGTTTTATTCATGAGAAAACAGTGCACATGAAGAGGTGAAGTGCTCTGCCCAAGGTCACAAGGGGCAAAGTGATGATCTGAACCCAGCAAGTCTGGCCTGAAGCATCTGTGCTCCAAACACTCTAAAAAACTCAAGACCTCAAATTTCTAGCAACCTGAAGTGGGAGACTTCCCACCTGGCTGTTTCTAGTCTTCTCCTCCCGTCCCTCCGGTCCAGTAGTTTCCACGCGTCGCTGCCAAGCCAGGCCCATGACAGAGGACTATGGGGGTGGCGGTGCAGGCACACGATGTTTTTAAAGCTGCCCCCCACCCCCGGGGATAGAAGCGGCAGCCAGAGCCCCAGGTGCAGACCCTTGCAAAGACCGCCTGCTCCCAGCCTCACTCAACCACCTAGCAATCAGCTACAGCTGGGTGGCCCGCCAGGGCGGTGGGTGGCCCGCCAGGGCGGTGGGTGGACCTTTGATCCCAAACGAAGGTCCTCATTCTGGGCTCACCCTCACCACCTTTATCCTCCCTGTGGACATCTGCGTGTCCACTGTGTGCCACACGTCATGGCCGCCTGACGCCCTGCACCCTTTCTCCTCCATTCTCCTCAGCTCAGCTGCCTCCGCACCCCTTCCTGCGCCCTTGCAGAGTGTTTTAGAATCGCAGCCCTGGCTGGCGGCCGAGGCCTGGGAGAGGTAGGGAGCCCACTATCAGAAGACAGCAAACATCTGCACCAGTCACGGTGCGAGTGGGTAATGGCCCGGGCAGAGGGCTGACTTTGAGAGGCCCTGAGGAGTCCTCCAAGACCCGGCTGATTAATATGGGATGAACGTGGAAGGAGGCCTGGCTAGACTACCCACCAACACTGGAAGAGGAGGAAGGTTTGGAGCCTAGGAGACCTTGAGTTTGTCCGGGGAGGCACTATGTCACTTACCACTCACACACACGGAGTGCCAGCCACCGGCGGCCACCTCAGCCATGGGAAGGCCCTGCAGCGCCTCCAGCAGCCTCGGCTCCGGCTCGGCCTCCAGAGTCCCGTGGCCCAGCTGTCCGTGCCTGCGCAAGCGAGAGCCCAAGCAGGTCCTCCTCCCCTTCCTTCCCCAGTCCCACGCACGGGTCCCCACTCGGAGCCACGTTTACCTGCCCCCGCCCCGCGCCCACATCCGGCCACGCCCCCCCTCACCTGCCCTGGCCCCAGGAGAACACCTGGCCCGCCTCGTCCAGCAGCAACGCATGCTCGGCGCCCAGCTCCAGCCGGCGCGCCCGCAGCTCCGGGGCCAGAGGCCGGTAGAAGGGCGGCCGCGGACTCACGTAGGCGCGCGCGCCGGGCAGCAGGGGCAGCGCCCCGGCCTGGGCCTCACCGCCCGCGCCGTCTGCCCCCTCGGCCTCCGGCACCAGCGTGTGGGTCCACAGGGGCTCCCCGCGCAGCGCGGAACCCGGCGCCCAGGCCTGCAGCTCCGGCCCGGGCCCGAGCCCCCGCCCGGCGCGCAGCACCACGAGGAGCGCCTCCGAGGCCCACGCGTCCCTGCAGCCGCCCGCCGCGCCGTCCGCCGCGCCCGACAGCTGCACCTGGCCTCCACCTGCGAGAGCGGAGGGCGGGCTGGGGAGCGGCCGGGCCACGCGCCCGGGGCCGGGGGCGGAAGTGGGACGGAGGGGGGCGCTCACGGGTCACGACGGCGGTGTAGCTCCAGCTGGCGCTCACGCGGCGGACGTCGGCGCCCGCGCCCGGTGTCCGCAGCGGCTCGGGGCTGTGCACCTGGCGCCCGCGCCCCGAGCCCAGCGCCTGCCCGAAGCCGCAGAAACCGAAGCCGAACCAGGACCCCCGGCGCTCCTCGGCCATGCTGGCCGCCACCTGAATGGGGTGGGAGGCGGGACAGGGTCAGGAAGGCCACCAGACCGAGGAAGATTCTGGGCTGCCTAGAATGGGGGCACTTGCCCGGTCTTTTCCCTTGGACTCAAGCAAGCCCATGGCTCCACAGAGTAGGCACCAGGTATTTAAGTGGCCTCTCCCTTAGACGTCGTCCTAGGAGGTGAGCCCCTCCAGCTCCCAGTGTCAGGCACATTATCCCACGTCATCTTGGGAACCAAAATTACCCCCATTTGACAGAGGAGACTCCCAGAGAAAGTAACCCTTACGCAGTCACATAACTTAGGACCAAGAGAGGCAGAGGCCGAAATCAAGGCCCACCGACTCCACATACAGTGCTCTTCCCACCAGGGCAAAGCAGAGCGTTTGGGAGACAGGGCCCTGTGCGGGTCCAACCAGCTCCAGGGTTCACGGGTTTGCCTCTGCAGGGAGAGGTGCCTGTGTCGTTGGTCCATCTACTTAAGCTTTCTGAGTCCAGTTCAGTTTCTTCAGTTTTACAAAGGCAGGGGATAGGAGAGGGTGCTGTCTGTACGTACCTTGTAGACCTGTGGGGAACAGATGGAAATAAACGGTTCACGTACTGGCACATACCACGATAGGCACAAGGTTAAGTACTGGCTTATTAAATCCAGTACTTAGAGTTGACTTTAGAAAGTCCAGGGGTACTTACTGGTTTTCAAGGGACCCATATAAACACAATTTCAACTGGACCTCACCTAGTCATTTATTCGTTCTACAAGCATGTATTGTTGCCCTCCCTTGGGCGGATGAGAAAGACGGCTGTCTGCCCCCAGGGAGTTCACACATTAAATCGGGAAACGAATACACCGTCCCGTGGTTCCAAAAACAACGCCGCTTTTTCCGTACAGCATGTTCGGCTTTGAAGTCAGCTATGGGGTCCCTCCCGCGACCAAAGCTCCTTAACCCAGACCTGGGCTCCTAACCCAAGGGGCCCTCTGACCTTGATCTTGACCCCGCGCCCTCCACCCTCCTCGGGCAGCTCCTCCCGGCGGGCAGTCTCGAGGGAGGAAAAGCGGGGATGCAGGGCAGTCACTCAGGACCCGGGTGCCGGCCGCCGCGGAGGAAATGTTTGAAGAGCCGCCCCCCGGGCCAGGCGCCCATTGGCTGCCGCAGCCTCCCCGGGCCAATCGCCGGCGAGGGCGGTGACGTCACCGCCCGGGGCGGGCGGCCGCAGGGCGGTGCTCACCTCGGTACCCGCAGTCCCGGCCGCGGCCCGTCGGGCCCGAGCTCTGACAAGCCGGTCCGCGGGTGTGCGCTGTGCCGCTGCAGCCTCGGGTGTGAGGTGGGGTAACCTCCGGTGGGCGCGTACCCGAGGCAGAGGTGGGCCGGACGATCCCGCCCCCTGCAGGCCCGCACGGAGTTCAGGTTAGAATCCGAGCTGCGGGGCTGGCGAGGAGCGACCGCGGCGACGCGGGCACCCCGCCATTCCCCTCAGCCCCGGACGGCGGCAGCTCGCGACCCACACCGAGGGGCTGATGCCCAACCGGAAGCAGTCGTACTAGGCGGGCGCCTCGGCGAGTTTGGCCTTCCATTGGCTCGGGGCCTGTCACTCATCTCTGCGAGCCAATGAGCTTCACTCTGGACTCCCAGAACGGAAGCAGGTGCTCGCGGCTCTCTGCCCCGGCAGGTGGCGGAGCTCTCGCTGCCCCCGGATCAGCTACAGGATTTTTCCGTGAGGGAAGAGCGGCCCAGGACTACACACCAACCCCAAATCCAGCGCACCGCCCAGTGGAGGCCACGGGGAACGCTCAATACAGAGACAAGAGTATTGAAGGACCAGCATCGACGAGTCCAAAGCCATTTATTCCCACGCGACTTCAGAGATTTTTTATTCGCGTCCTAGGTTTACCCTGATCCTCCAGCAGAATTAAAAAGCACTCAGCAGGCCCCAGGGTGAGGAATCCGTTGGATTCCTTCCGTAGAGGTAGCTGTGCTGTGTAGCTCTGCGGTGCACTCAGCCAGGTCCCTGCCTCCGGACGGGGGGCACAACTGACCTCCACGTACTTTTTATTAGACGGCCGGCGTGGTCCCGCTAGCAGGCTCAGGTGAAGCTCCGAAGCTGGTGAGGCTGCCTGAGGTGCCCTTCCCAATGCTGGGAACGCGCAGGCTGGGTTAGGATGCACCTTCCCCGTTCCCAGCGGTCTACAGTACTACAGAAGGCCCTGCCGCGTGAGGCTGGAGGCAGTGCTGGTGGAGCAGGGCCAAGACTGACTGTGGTCCCTGATTCCGCAGAGGACATGAGGGGCAGCTAAGAAGAGGCCAGTGTTCAGCATCCCAGCCCCCAGCAGCCAAAGCTGTGTCTGCCCTCACTCCTCTGCTGCAGCAGGTAGCGCGTGCGTGAGACAGCCCCTCACTCTCCATCCCGGTTGGGTTTGATAAGCCCGTATTCCACCGCTTTCCCCAGGCAAGCTGCAGCAGCTCTCCTGACGGGGCTCTCCTTGCCCTTAGCCAGCACCGACAGGATCTCCAGCACCTCGCTCTCCATGAGGGTGCCGGCGATCTCTTTCGAGGCCTCCACCATGTTCAGTGCCACCACCACACCCCGGTGCTGCAGCTCCTGGTTGGGGCTCAGGAGCAAGGCCTGCAGGATCTCCAGCCAGTGTGTGGTCTGCGGGAAACAGGGCAGCATCACCACCGAGCAGCAGGCTCAAACCTGGCAGGAACACTCCCACGTGCCCTGGGATGTCCTCCCACCGGCCGCCACGCAGGGCGTTCCAGGCCCACATCCCCTCCCCCGCCAAGAAGAGGCACTGACCACTTGGGGGACGCGGCTGCAGAGCGAGGGCCGCATGGAGGTGAGCATGGCCAGGCCCCCAGCAGCGGCCCGCCGCAGCAGCTCATCCTCCTCTCCGCTGTATAGCACCAGCAGCTTCAGCCGGTCATTACCCTCGGCTTCAAAGAGGTCCTGTACCTGTGGCCAGAGGACGGGAGGGGACTGAGTGAGCTGCGGCAAAGCCAGGCGGGGCACAGGTACCTCTGCGCACTTGCCCGTCATGACCACCCGGACCCGCCCTCACCTCCTTGCTCATGGCCAGGTTACACATGCATTCCGTGGCTGCCCGGCGGATCATCTCGTGCTCCTCGAACATGTAGCCCTCAATCATGGGCACGGCCTTCTCCTTCAGGATCTTCTGCCTGCGGGGCCAGGGTGGAAAGGTCAGCAGCCTCAGAGCTCCTGCATCCACTTCCCCCACCCATGCATCCCCACGCAATCGAGCCCCGGGTCAAGGACCTCTCGGGCAGCATCCAAAGACCCTCCTGCACCAGGTATGAGCTGCAGTGGCTGCCAGCTTCTTCAACAGGCCTAGGAGGTAGCATGGGACCGTGGAAAATGCTCTAAGGTAGGAGTTCGGAGACTGGGGGGCTGGTGACAGTGATGCTAACATCTAATATTTAAGCACTTACCCTGACCCAGAATTTGGACTCTTTCTTAATCCTCACCATGGCCCTACGGTGAGGGTGCCAGGTATGCTTAGTATTACTATTTTGCAGAAGAAGAAACCAAGGCTGAGTACAGACAGGGAGCCCAATGTCACCATTCTCGGTAACAGCTGATGCATACCACTTGGCCACACTGCCGGGAGCATGTCAGGTGCTACATACTTGGTGCTTCTGCGTATATTTTCTCCTTTAAAGCTCACTACCACTCCTCAGGTAGGTGCTACACCCATGCCATTCCACAGGAGGGAAACTGAGGCATGGAGCAGCACTCGTTTGTGGTTACATACTAGCAACCAGTGAGGTCAGGATGTGAACCCAGGCAGTCTGACTCCAGAGCGTGCACTGTCACTGCCCCAGGCCTTGCGCACTGGTGGACCGCGGTACAAGTCAAACCTCCTGACCTGTCTCCCCAGCTACAGGGAAGCCCTCCGTGAGGCTCAAGTCAAGCAATGATTGAAAGGTGCTCTTCAAACTGTAAAGTGCTGTCCTGGGGACCTTACCGGAGCCTCTCACTGATCCCCGCCAGGTTTGTGAGAGCCATGAGTGCCTCGAAGTTCTGCAGGCCTGAGCAGTGGAGGTGCAGCAGGGAGACAAGGGGCCGGACCACCTCATAGATCTGTAATACAGCCACCTGTCACGGCCACTCACCCAGCCCCCACCAACCCTACCAACCCGAAGGTGAGAGGCCACCTCCGGAAGGAAGGTGGCCCTCCCCACCCCGGGGCTTCCTGTCTGTCCCAAGGGGGAGCCACAGCCCGGGTCAGAGGCCAGGAGGGCCCAGGGAGGGGTGGAGGAGAGGCCAGGGCTGGGGCAGCAGGACACACACCCGCTCGCCAGGAAAAGTCATCTCGGGGTTGGAGGTGATGGTGAGCTTGGCAAGAGCCTGGGCTGCCTTCGTCTGCCCCACGTCAGTGCCTTCCAGGGCCAGCGGGAGCAGAGCCTGTAGGGATGAGCCGAGCCGTCAGGGTCTGAGATGTGCCCTGGAGGCTAAGGCCCAAATCACCAGCCTGGTCCGGATGGTGGCGCGCTCACCTCTCTCCTCCCTCAGGCCTGTCGACACTCCCGCTCAGACCCTCTTCCTCTCTCCCAGGCCTCTCCTCAAGCTGCGCAAACTCTTCCACAAACACTAAGGGGCCAGCCGCAGCTTGGGCTGGGCCACGGGACACGCAGGCCAACGACACGGGAGAAAGGAGGAGAGTCCGGATCTTGATGGGCACAAACCCGCCCCCGGCAGCACGGCTCTCAGCAGGAACACGTTCCTGTGGGTCCCTCATACTGTGTTCCAGCCTCATCTCAGCCGTGGCAGCCACTGCGTCATGTTTTATAGACCATTGGGAAGGAGTCTGTAAGGCAGCTTACCTTGCCCCCGCCCTGAGCCACCACAGTGCCACGGTCCTCTACCTCGTCCACCAACGCCAGGAAGACCCTGCGGGGAGATGGTGCGGGTGGGCAGGGGGCTCTGGCTGGCACACGCCCCAGCCCCGGGCTCGGCGACGGCCAGCAGCTACACGGGCGGCCCCCCTGCTCCCCTGCTTCCGAGTCAGGCAAGGTCTGGCTCACCTGGAGAGCAGCTCCCGGCAGGCACTGGTCAGCACAGGGCTCTCGGTCTTCACCATGCACGTCATGGCCGACACCACGCCGGCCTCCAGCAGCTTTTTCACCCGAGCCCGCACGAAAGCCGGTTTGTCCTGGGAAGGAGGCAGCTTAGCAGAGGGGCCCCAGCTGACTGGACAGGGAGAGGGAGACCCTCCTCAGAGCACCAATTGATGCGCGGGAGCACAAAGGGGAAGAAACCCGCTTAAACCTTAAACGGGAGGCTGCTGTGGAGGCCCCCAAAGCCTCTCAGAGGCTCCCTCACCTTGGGGTGCTGCTCGGGCACATGCTGCTTGGCGTACTTGGCCAGCTCCACCATCTTGGGGTCAGGCTCCTCACAGTCGTAGCTGTTGGTGCAGTTCACCAGTGCCGAGGCCACCGCAAAGAGCACTGACCTCTCCTCGGACTGCGCGCAGGAGAGGGGCAGTCAGGCAGCTGTCCCCGGGCCTCCACTTCCGCCCTCAGCTGCACCACCGGGGCAGCAGGATGAATGTGGGAAGCTCCCAGGCCCACCCTGGCCCCAGACTCTTGGGAGCTCATACACTCAACTTCCCTAACTCCCCCAGAAACACTGTCCTGCCTGACGTGGCTGGTGCAGCCCTGTAGGCCCAGGCTACAGAGTGGCCACGCAGGCTGCCAAACCTCCCACCCTGGGGCCATGACAGCCACTGCCTGAGACCTGCCAAGAAAACCTGGTAAGTTCTAATCGCAGATACTGTTCCCAAATGACTAGAGGAACCCATGGAGCTACCCTGCTGAGCTGGAACAGAGCCTTCAGGGCAGCCTCATCTTCCACAAACTCTTCCTTCACGTCGGCGTCAAAGGTGAGGTAGGCCAGGCCCTCCACTGCCCAGCGCCGTGTGCCTGCGTCGATCTGGTCATTGCACAGCCACCTGGGGACATGCAGGGTAGTGGGCAACCATCAGAACAGGGGGGCTTCCCCTCTACACATGAAGCAGTTCATGTGGCAGGATCCAAGAGGGTCTGCCTGGCGGACAGCAGTGTAGTGGGGAGGCCCCATCCTTCACCCAGACCCTCCTCTCGAGGCCTAGCTGACAGGTGGGGAGCCGTGGCAACACCAAATAACTCACTTTCGACACTGCTTGGCCAGTTTGAGAGTGGAGCCTTCAGCAAACTGCTTCATGCTAAAATCTGTCCCTCCAGCCGAGCCGAGCTTACACAGGCCCTGGAGGAAGAGGCAAGAACCAGCTGTTGGTCTCTAGGGATGGAGGCAGAGCTGGGCTCCTCCATACCTGGCATGGGCTCTCTCCCTGATGTTCTGCCGGGCCCTCTGGAGGCCATGCCCATCCCTAC